TTCCAGTAGATTTAGTGTTTCTGTTTTAATATTTAGATCTGTGATCCATTTTTACTTGAGTTCGGTGCATGGTGATAAACATGGGTCTAGTTTCAGTCTTCAGCATGTGGCAAGCCAGATTTTCCAGCACCATTTATTAAAGAAGCTATCTTTCCTCCAGTGAACTTGTTTGGCCCCTTTGTCAAAGATAAGGTGGCTGAGTGTGTTTGTGGTCATGGCTGCATCTTCCAGTATGTTTCATTTATCCTCAGGTCTATTTTTTTGGCCAGTACCATGTTGATTTTATCACAGTAGCTTTGTAGTGCAACTTCAGGTCAAGGACTGTGATGCCTCCTGACTTGTCTTTGTTGCCCAGCATTGCTTTGGCTCTTCTGGGTCTCTTCTGGTTCCAGATGAATTTTAGGAATGTTTTCTCTAGATCTGTGAGATAGGCTAATGGTATTTTAATTGGAATTGCATTGAATCTGTCCACTAAGTTTAATAGACCAAAATAAGATCTATTGTGATTTAGAAACATGAATCCACTCCCAACTCACTCTATTCTTCAAAGACCATTGCTTCTGACAAAATTCTAAAATCCGTCTATCATGGACATTAAATGAATGCATAAATCTACCAGCATCCTTCATCAATACAAGGTACCTTTTTAACAGTAGACATTTTTAAAAGCATAAAACTCTTTTTTTCTTGACAATTATTTCCTCTGATTTTGAGGGCATTTTCATTTTATGACCCTGTCTTTTTGTTTATATATTTTCTATGTTTGACAAATCAAATATACAAGAAACCATCATTTGTACAATTCTCCAACAGGCATTATTTTGCCATTTATTTATCAATATCAATCTATGATGAAAAACAGCATCACAGCACTCTCAAGCAGTGAGAAGTGTTTGACAAATAGTCGTTATTCTAGTATAGTCTAATTTTGTCTTTCTGATATGTGTTGCTATAATACTTATAATCTTTGATCCAAGGTTCACAACTGCGACAATAGTAACCATTGTTTAGTATACATCTGCTAATTCCAGGTACTTCTCAAAGTTTTTTATATGTACAAGGGAAACAAAACCCACATTATGCAAACTCACTGCTTTTGATTCATTAACAATAGGTGCTTCTAATCCCATAGATGTCCTGTATGTAAAACTGTAACTACATCTGGACTTTTCAGGTTCTGTCTCAAACTTCTATTTTGCCAGTAGATGAAGTGAAAATAAATCCTGATTTACAGGTTTCATCATAAATATACTTTCTAAAAAGTTAACACATCTACAGAATTTTTAAAAAATATATTTTAATAGGGCTGGGGATTTAGCTCAGTGGCAAAAGTGCCTGCCTGGCAAGCACAAGGTTGTGAGATCGGTTCCCGGTACCAGAGAAAAACCAAAAAAATATATATATATATATTTTTTTTTTTTTAATATATTTTTCCAGCTTAAAGCATTTTGTGTCAGAATCAAGGGAGGTAGCAATTGCTAACCCACATTTACTGTTACAGGAACCTCAGTTTATAAGAGATGATCTAAAAATATAATATTTTATTTATTTATTTATTGGTACTGGGAATTGAACTCACAACCTTGCACTGGTCAGGCAGGTGCTGTGCTGCTGAGCTATATCCCCTGCCCTATATTTAAACTTTTTAAAAAACACACTACAGTAAAAGACATTGCCAAAAACAATGGGATACGGGCATTGGAAGGAAGGGAAATATTTTAAGTATTTTGAAGGGGATTCATGGAAACATGTTTTTTACTGTAATATTTTTTAAATTTCACTGTAATTTTTTTATCATAGCTCATATGCCTAACCTATGCATTTAGTCGCAAAAATGATGGCTTCAGATGTTTTTGTTTTTCAAATCATGGAACTTGTGAAAAAGTATTTTGTTGGCACTTCACATGGCGTAATACATTTTTCCTCTCAACTACATTCATGGAGTTTTTGACAATTTTAGGATATTCTGGCAATTCATTTTGGACACTTTTGGTGCCTGGACCTTGAAAGGTTTGATTATGGGACCTCAAATCAAATTGTACAATGTAGCATGATAAACTTGTTTGTGAAACCTTAGCTTCAGTTCCCCAAACCTTAGCTTCTTATGTCCACAATTATGCCCTCCTTTTCAGCTCTAATATGTTTATTTGCATCTTCTCTCTCTCTTTTTGAACAAGGCTTGTTAATTTTGTTAGTATTCCCAAAGAACCCATTTTTGGCTTCTTTAATCTTTGTTTTCATTAATTTTTGCTTTTAACTTTATTATATACCTTCTTTTAAGAAAAGATGATTTCACTGCAATTTTCTAATTTAAATTGGATGCTTACACTTTTAACCCTTTTTTCTTTCTTTGTTCCTTCCTCACTCCTTTTCTTTCTTCCTTCTTTCCTCTTTCTTTCTTTCTTTCTTTCTTGCTTTCTTTCTTCTTTCTTCTTTCTTTCATTCTAATATAAGTGATTAAGACTCTAGCTAATAAAAAATTATTTTCTTTCCCTCTAATACTACTTTTCTTGAAGCCAGATTTTGTGTATACCTTCTATTTTCATAGTTTTATTCTGCCTAAAAAACTCTTCTTTTATGGAACATTTTAAACTTACACAAATTAGAATAATGTAATGGATCTATGTTTATCTGCCAATGAGCTTCCAAAAGTTATCCATTTTTGTTCAATTGTATTTTATCTATACATTTTCCCACTGCTTCTCTGTCCCAGTATTTTGGAGCAAATGTTAGACATCTTGTTTCATGAATATTTGAATATATTTCTCTAAACTATCACTCCGCTTTAAAAATATATAATTTCACTACCATAATTGCACCTAAGTTATAATAATTTTTATCAGTAATTATCCAGTCAGTTTTAAAAATGTCCTAATTGCTTATAATTCATAGTTGCAGTTTGTTTATTCAAACCAGGATCCAATGAAGTTGATACATTTCAATTAATGATATACAGTAAGTTTCCTTTCTAACTGAATTTTGTTTTGGGGTTTTTCCTCTTGCAGTTAATTTGAAGAAATTGTAGTAGAAGAAACAGTAGTCTGTGTGTTTGAATTCTCTACAATCTGCTGATGGCATGTGTATTCTTCTGCTGGTTATATGTTAAATTGGTGGTTGGCACCGGTACCCTGTTGATTTTCTCACAAGACTACTTCACAGGTAGTGGTGTGGACTTCCTTTGGGAGATATATGATGCCTGCCTGCTCTCTTTCTTGATATTATTAATCATTGATGACTATTGCTTCATTTCATTAATTAATTATCAGGTTGAGAAAATTTTATTATTCTAAATCTATCCTTTTATATTCATATATTGGCTGAATTTCTCTATAAAAAGAAACTTTCCCTCATCAATTATTTTACTGTTCTGAGTACACAGAGAGCAGACACAAAAGCAAGATAAACACTTGATCCCTTTCATATGTTTTACCAAATTTCAGGACAGTGATATAACAAGCTCTGAGTCAATTGCTTTAAAAGCAAATCAAACATCTATTTCAAAGATATACCTTGATGATTAAAACTGTTCAGAATTTAATTCTGAAACCTAAAAATAAGTGGTTACTCTATATTTGCATTGGTTTTCATTCTCTTACAATAAAAAGATTAGTTATATTGGTTACTCAGTGTATTTACTCATGTAATTATGCATGAGTTCTGATATTTTCCAAAAATCAAAATGCATTTTCCAAAAATGATATTTTTTATATTAAGAATGAAACTCTTTAAATTAATATGTAGACTCTTCCAATTTCTCTGAATCCCTCAAACTTACATGTTTCTGTCAGTGCCTCTCTCTGTCTTTCTGTCTCCCCACCACCACCAATATCTACCTCTGTGATGTTCACATAGTGACTTAGCCCACGCCACTCATCTGGTAGGGCTCAGAGAAGACAGACCCTTGTCTTCTGATGCTATAGGTCTGTCAAGGTCAAGGCTGCACCAGTTGAAAACAGGAGCTCCCTGCACATGCTGTGACAACCCGTTCCTTGCAGCATCAGCTCCTCGAGGGGCTTTTCCCACCAGGGATATTTCCCGACTCCTGGCGCCAGTAGTTACAGGCTGTAAAAGCGTCTCCCTGCAAGATCACAGGAAGTATATTGCATGTTCCCAGGATGTAGAGAAGAGTAATTAGGAAACAGATAGAAAAAAATCCATACAAAGTTGGGCATGGTGTCTTCAAGAGTTGCACACAGAGAACCCTAAGAGTTCATCACCATTAACAAACACCAGTCCTCTTGAGGCTACAGTCAGCAGCATAAAACTTTGGGTGCCACCCCCACTCCCACCTCCATGTGCAAAGTACTAAAATACTAAGGTTGTAAATTGAGTTTCCTCCTTTAAGGATGATGATAGTGAAGCATAAATTAGAGGGAAACATTTGAAGGCTCTATTAATAAGAAGTCAAAGCATCAATCCAGAGTCCTATTTCCTCCTTGTTCCTTATTCCCCAACTCTGCCCGTTTTGTCTTATCTTCCCATTGCTTTAAAAAGTCATACAAGCCAGGCATGGTGGCATATGCCTGTAATCTCAGCACTCGGGAGGCTGAGGCAGGAGGATCCTTGCGAGTTCGACGTCAGCCTAGGCTACAAAGTGAGCTCCAGGCCAGCCTGAACTGCAGAGTGAGACACTGTCTCAACAACAACAAAAAAAGTCATACAAACATATACATAAAATGCAAATCCTTTTTTCTTTAATAAACGCCACATTTCTGCAAGTTGATTTTTTTGTAAAACAAAACAAAACCAACAAAAGAATCCTCAATATATCACAGAGCTCAATCCATAGCAATGTAAGGAAATGTTCTTTATTTCATTTTTTTGGTCGTTCTATTTATTTCCTTTTTAATTTTAATTTTTATTAGTACATGTTTGTGATACAAAATGGTTACATTCCTTGTGGGTGGTTGGTACATGCAGGAGACACATCTGATTTTTTTTATGTCCTTTTCCCCTGCCTCCCTTTTCCCCTCCTTCTATCTCTTGGTCTCCCGTTTGTAAAAGATCTATCTTCCTCTATCCTATTATCTATCTTTTATTTTGCTCTTTGACTTATTTATTTATACTTTGGACCTCACGGCTGTGTGCTATAGTGTGGATTTACCATCTCATGTTTAAACAGCCTGTTATCTGTGGATATTTGGGGCTTTTCTTCCTTGGTTACTACAAATAGATTCCAGAAAAGAACAGCCACGGCCAGTGTAGGTCTTGTGCTTGTATGCACAGAGCTGTGCATTTTGCATGTATTATCCCATCTATTCTTCGGCAATCCTATGAGAAGGGTTATTGTCTCTCCTTTACAGTTAAGGAAACTCAGGTTTGCAGGAGCTGAGTAACATGCCAAGGGTCAAGCAGCAGAGCAGAGGCCTGGGATCGTGACTGTTCCCACGTGCTCGGCCTCTTCCCTCCTCCTGACTCAAGTCCTTGTGGATGAGCAGAGCAGACCGAGATCTCCGCACTGACCACTACCACCTCACAGGCATCCTTTCACATTCTTTTGCAAATTCACCAAGACTCATCTTCCCAGCCCTTTCAACCAGCTTACAGCCCTCCCTGGGAGCAGGCTTGTTAAGCAGCCACACAAGTTTTGGAAACCTGCCCCGGATGTGCCCATCCTGACAAAGCAGGGATCCTGCCTCCTCTGCATTCTTTCTGCATCCCATGGCCTTCAATCCCGCAGGCTCCTGTGCTTACCAGAAGCATGCAGCTTGTGGGAGAGAGTGATGCAAGAGAGGGACTGTGCTGGGCTGACTTCTTTCTTCCATACTCAGGGGCCATGATGGTTTTCGGTACTACTGCCTCCTTCCCTGTCTGTATCCTAGAATGACTTTAAAATGACCCTATTCCCCACTAGCCAATATGGGAGAGGAGGGTAAGTTTGGGGAGATGTGAAAAAGGTAGTTGGGTGATGGGAGGCTCCTTCCCTTAACTTCCAGCCTGGCCCAAATGTGAGTAGAGCCAAGACTCCAGAAACCATCAGCCCAGGGGTCCTGCAGAGTCTTTACGGTCACATGAGGCTCAAGGGGACAGCACCTGGGGACAAAGTGGAAACTGCCCAGGACCTAGGAATGCAGATGAGCTGGGGTTCATAAGGCTGCCCTTCTGTCCTTAAACCAGTGCTGTGGGCTATGGTGCCAGAGAAGGAAACCGTATATGAGTGTTCCACGAGGCTTCTTCATGGTAACCTGGGCAGGGAGGAGGAGGGGACAAGGTAGACATTTCACAGTATATGATTGACTTTAAAAGTTGGATCAAACTAACTTTCTGTTTTTGAAGAAAAAAAAGTAATAACTAATACTTACCAAGGGCTTAGGCCCCAATTTACCTACCTTGCTCCAGCGAATCCTTGGGATAACATTTAAAAATATAAAAGATACAATTCCCATTCCACAGGTATGAAAATCAAGGCTCCAAGAATTTAAGTGATTTATTCAAGTTTGCAAACCTAGTAAGCGAGGGAGTCCTGATTCAAACCTCAATCTGCTGAATGCAAAATTCAGGTTCTGAACCACTTTACTACATATGTTACAGACCATTCATTCATTCAACAAAAATATTTATTTAAAACCGCTATGCACTAATCATATGCTATTATGGGAATATAATAACAAATAAGGCAGTCCTGGTGATTGAGTTTATTTTCTAGTTGGAGGGGAATAAAAAAAGTGAGTAAGTTAACACATGATTGATTACAGGCTGTGGTGAATGCTGTGGCTTCCACCCAATATTTAAGACTGTTTTAAAATCAAGTCTTTTTTAAAGTAGCTGATAACGAATAAAAGCAAAGGGTTCTCTATAAATTCTCCCTACCCTGAATTCGTCTCATTAGTATATGTATTTTATGGGAGTTTCTTTATACTTACCCATTTTATTTGATCTAGCTCCTCCCAAATGAAGGTAAAACTAGCTTCATTTATGTTTTCTTAATATTCTGATTTCAATCTCTTTAAAAGCCAAGGGAAGGCATAGAAAAATCTATTTAAATGACGCCAGATTAAATGGCCTATCCCTGTGAAATCTTTAGAGAGCCTGATCTGTGAAGTTGAAATGCCCTGGGAGAAGAGGCCAAGGGAACCACCTCAAGACTGTCACCGAAAGGGAATAGCTGTGTGCTGTGAACATCACCAGCGTTTCCTCCACAGGTCAGAGCTATGTGAAAGTCTCCCAGGGAAGAAGACAGGATGTAAATTCAACCCATCATTTGAAAGACAAGCATATCAAATGAAAAGCCATCTGAGCAGTATTATTACATTCTATTATCATTGTTCTTCCATGTAGTTAGGAGATTTTAATCGGAGCAATCTCTTTATGTTCACAAATACCTAGGAGGAAGGGAGGTGGGGGGTGTTAGTATTCCCATCATTTCCTAAATAGCATTTAAATTGAAAATACCTGCCCTCTACCTGTCTGGCTGGGACCTGGAGTTTAATTAGATTAGCATCTCTCAGCTGCTTAGGTTTCCCAGAGATGGGCATTATGTAAACATAAGGCATTATTATTGTTATCGTAGTATCATTATGGTATTGTAACTGTGTGGATTCTCTCATAAAGCTACATAGGATGGGATCTTGGCCCAGCCCATGATTTGTCTAGTTCTTTGAGCTTAAATGAAAGGCACAGGCAGGTTTTCTTGTGTTGTTGGCATCTTTATAGTGATTATTATGGCATTTCTGATGATTGAAGAATGAACTGATTTTCAAATGCATCTCAGCATCTTGCTAGGATTTTGTTTTTTATTTTTCTGTTTGTTTGTTTAGGATTGGCTGTGTTACTGCAAGAGTTTGCTCTTCCACATTTGTTTGAAAACCTGGGGTAATAGCGCTTGGAGCTTCTGTTAGCCCCTGGGGTGAAAGGGAAAAGGCAGGATTCCTCAGTGGTGGGTGCTTCATCCCTGAGCTGCAGGAGCCTGGTTGAGCCTGTGGGGGCCCCATGCTCATGAACAACCCTGTTTGGGTAAATTATTGTAGTTAAAGCCAACTTTGAGTGACTCCTCTGTCCCATTTCCACCCTTAGGAGCCAGAAATGGCTTTTCTCAAAAAGATTAAGACGAGATTCATTTCAAAAAGAGGAAAGAAGAAGAGATAGAGAGCCAAATAGCACACCAGAGAATAATTTTACGAGATTAAAGGAGCTGATTCATCACTAAATATACCAGCTGGTGACGCTGCAGAGTTGATTTTAGGAGGTATTCATAAATCCAAAGATTTATGTTACTGGTGATGAAAATGTTATTCTGGAGTTTGTGAGTGTGGGACCTGCCTTATATTATCTCCCTGTATTCTGACAGCGTCGCACTCAAAGGTCATTTCCATTCATTTCTTTGTACAGTATTGGTTTTTTCCTCCAATAAATTCTATTGTTAATCCTCTCCCAACTGCATTTACAGTTGTGGCTGTAATTGTTTCCATTAAAGCCTCACTCTAAACATTTGCATTTTCTTCCCTAAAGGTCTACTGTTTTCTACTACTGAAGCCTCTGAAAGCTGCATGATTTAGAAATGTAAGATGAAGGGCTCCTTTATCTTCTTCCCACTGCATACTTGAAGTTCTTTACAGAGCAGAATATCATCAAATTTAAATGAAGAGAAAACCTCCCAATTGATGAGCCAGCTGTTCCCTGCAATTTTTCCATCTCTTCAGGCGTCAGACTAATATGTCTCTGCATGATTTATTACATGTGTTTGCAACAATAGAGTTATCATCAGGCTCTCTTCTCTGCCACTCATCCCTGACTGGTTCTTGGGATGGTACTTCAGGTGGTGCTCAGCTGGTCATGGCAGAGAAACTACTTGGTTCTTCTCTGCTAAGTTCCCACCTGGCCCTGTCTGTGAGGAGGCAACGCTACCAGGGTGCTGCAGAGGGCCTTGGGGTTGGAGTGGGCATCAGCTGCTGCACCACCCTTGACTTTGGAAGCAGAGCGTCTCACAACAAGCGCCAGGGGTTGAAGATGTCATTTCTCAGAGTTGGTGGAGCATCGTCTGTGCAGCTACAGGTTGCTGCTGGTCCAGCCTGGTTTTGTGTGTGCGAGTGCTTAAGTCGGCACTTTGTTATTGGGGCAGAACAAACCTAGGCTAATGCACTTGGTCTAAAGAATCCCAGGGAGCCCCCGTTTTTCATCCCCTGGCCTTTCTTCCCAGTCTTTCTGCTCTTGCACTCTGGATAATTGCAGTTTAATTCGGTGACACGAAATGAAAACTGTGTCCGCATTATCCAGGATTATCTCTTTCTCCCGAAGCCTGCCACCCGTTGAAAGGAGCCCATTTATCAGACCAAAAAGCTGCACACTCAGTGGCTTTCACGAGCAAAGAAGAGTATGAGAACAGGCTGGGGAAGGGAGAAAAGGAGCTGACAGCTAAGAGAAATTATTTCAGTTGTTTATCACGGGGAAGGCTTATCTGATTCTTCACAAAATGATATGGAGGCCAGAGTGTCGAGCCATGAGTAAAGAACACTGACCAAGTTTGCTTCCCCAACTGGTTGGACCCAGCACTGCCTCTCTTTTGTGTGGGCACAGATCAACTTTAAAAGCGTCTTTCAGGCAGCATGAATGCACTTCATTTTACTAAAAAGAACTTTGTATTGATAGCTAGAAAAAAGGAAGGTTGTTTAAAAAGGAAGGGTAGACAATCGGGACAAAATGAGGAGCTTTCAGTTTCTATTATGAGCATGTCACTCCATTCTTCTCATCTGTTTATACATTCCCTGCACAATAATGTCTCTTTGCAGTAATATGTTTCCCCTTTTACACTATTCATATTGAAAAAGCCCTCACATCATGACCATGGTAATAGATACCATAGAAATGTGGGGCTGATGTCAATTTGCATTCTGTGAGAAGATCAAGGTAAACCTAAGGGCCAAGAGAATATTCTGCTAATGCTCATTCATTCTCCAGATCCAGGTAAGAGAAGGACCGTGTCATTACAGTGCAAACCCCTTCTGTTCCTATTGCATTTGTGTGAACATTTTAGCCTAATGCACTGATTGTTACACAGAAAGAGGAGTTTTTCAAATTGTCTGCTGCACTTGAATCCCTCGCTGCACAAGGTCTGGGTGAGAAGGGTTTCTATTCAAAAGGAAACAGAGGCTTTAGTTCAGTAAGCACTGTGTGGTTGAAGGTCACGGAGGATATTGTGTTTTAAAATAAAAGCAGGGGGGCGGGGCTCATAATCTACAATGCCAACAGCAAATATGGAGTCAACATCAGGTGAAACTGTAGGAGATGCGACTGCAGTCTTTCCATTTGGAGTCAGCATCAATAGCTAGATGTCTTAAGTGGGCCAGGGGGAAAGTTCTTCAGATTTTGGAAGTAAACAAAGACACATCTTAGTTATTTGTGAGATGCATATTGTGTTGACACACACACATGACTTCTGTATTCTTATCGTGTTTGCTGCTCAACTTAACATTGAGCTTCAAAAATTAGAAAGGGTATGAAAGATCAAAATTAGATAATCCAGATATATTGGGAATAGACTAGCAATTTTATTCATTGATCATGTGTTGAGATCATATTACTCAGATACCTTAGATTTCTAGCCTTTCTCTTTTAGTAGAGCAGATATTAAAATGTGAGTGGTGCTTACAAAGCTACAGCTTTCTGTAGGTTTTAAATACGTTTATTATATTTTTCATACTGGCAAATGAGCACATGAGTTTGCAGAGGCAACATTTGGAGAATTGTCATATGCTTGTAGATACACCTTCTATGTATATTAGAATAATAATCTGTAAACTTTTTGAGTGAGAGGTACTATATTATACTTTATTAGTTATGTTCCATTCTACCCCTGGAAGATTTGAGTCAAATCTTTTCTTATAATTTGTTTTCTTTTAAACTGCAGCTAGATTTTATTTGATAAACAGATTACCAACAATCCCTCTACTTTCACTGCTTTTTCTTTCCATTTGAACTATTGTTCCTTTACTTTTATTCTAAGTGATATGTAATTTATTCAAAAAGAGGAGTAAAAAAGAAAATCACATGTAATTTTTGTCAAAAGACATGAGCACAAAGCTAACTTGAACTCTTTGAATATCGCTTTGAAAAAACACAAGTCAAAGGGAAATTTGACAGAACTTCTTTGTATCTTGGGAAAATTGACCCTACTGCATAGTACTGTCGTTTCAGTTTTGTAGTTTTATTTATAATCTTGCTCTTCAAAAAGAGCTACTACCCTTATGCTACATTTTTAGCCAAAACTCAGAGCAACAAAGTTTGACATTAAATTATTTGTTAAAGGATCCATTCACTTCTTTCCAGATACAGACAAAATTATGTCTGCTTGCTTCATCTTTGATCCTCTGGCAGAAATGACAAATGCACACACAGGCAGACAGAAGCCCCGTCATCCTGATTTATAAAAGCCTATAGACGGGTGTTTTGGGATTGGAAACCTATTTGTCAAATAGCCATCTGATTTATGCTGTCTTCCTCCTCGAGCAGCAAGGACGACATCGTGGATTAGGCTTATAACAAACACTGGAATGCTCTGCTTTGCATTCGTACATTAGAGTTCTGTCACCAGAGCTCTAGATAATGTTCCAATATATTTACCCTCTGAAAAAGAGGTGAGTAAAGAAATTACAAGGAGAGAGGCAGTCACTTGGACTGACAGCGTATGTGCTTACTGTCATTCAAAGGCAGCAAACAGGATCCCATGTGCTTGCAACATAGACCTGGCTTATGGACTTCCTGCACACGGGACATGGGAAACATTTAAAACAAGAAAAACCAAATAAGAAGAAAAGACAAGAGAGAAAACTCCAAAAATATCAGAAAATGTAAAAGCTTAAATGAAAGGGGATTAGAGTTCTCCTAAGGCCAATTAGTGTTTTATTTACTATTTTCACTCAGCCACTCATTCACAACTGCACTGGGAGAACACAAATACCTCTGGTGAATCTGAATGAGGGGATGGAGAAATAGCATGTGTGTTAATGCAGCTATGAATGATAATTATCTCAGAAATCACCTGAGGGTCTCGGAAGTCATAAAGATGACCCCCGGGGAATGGACCCTATCTACATTACATTAAAACATTACCAAGTGGAACTCTTTAAAAGAGGTCCTGGGGGGGATGCCAATAAATAAATAAATAAATATTGAAGTACCGAATATGAAACAGCAATAAGTAAAAGTGTCCATGGCATTAGCTAACAGTTACTGAATTCTTACTGTGCACTTCTTTTGTTATCTCCCAACAGCCCTGAATCAGAGGTATTAGAAACTAAGGCACAGAAAGGGAGAATAATTTGCCCAAGGTAACAGGCTATGTTATGGTTGCATTGTGTCCCTTCAGAATTCATATGTAGACATTCTAACTCCCAGTACTTTAGACTGTGACTTGATCTGGAAATCAAATTGCTGCAGATGTAATTAGTTAGCATGAAGTCATACTGAAGTGGGGGCCTCATCATCTAGTGCAACTGTTGTTATTGTCAAAGAGGGGGATTTGGACATAGACATAAATATGCACACAAACATAGACATTTGCACACATACAGAGAAAAGACCATGAGAAGTTTAATATACAAATTGGATGGTGTGTCTACAAGTCAAGGAATACCAAAAAATCATGAGAAAATCCCTAGAAGCTGAGAAGAGGTCTCTATCATAGTCTCCCTTGAAGCCCTCCAAATGAACCACCCCTGCTGATACCTTGAGCTTGGACTTCTGGCCTCAGAACTGTGAGACTGTACACTCTTATTACTTAAGCCATTCTTTTATTGTCCAAGCCTGAAACCTGAATTTAGGTCATCCTCTGACCCAGGCCTTAGGCTGGAGGTTCTGTACCATGTCTTCTCTCAAGAATATTTTGGTCATAAAATCCAGGGAGACATCTTCAAAGAAAGGTTTCTCTGCTATTACTTGATGTCATAGGCTGTTAGAGCTCAAAGGAACCTTAAACATAGGGCAGTGGCTTCCAAAGTATGTTCCATAGAGCCATGGGGACTCCCTCAAGGGACCCTGTAATGTCAGGGCGAGAGAGAACAGGTAACTCTCCCCACCTCTGCTTTACTCTGAGCACTTTGCTTTTATATGCTTTGTCCCCTGGACTGCTCCATACCATTTTGTCTGAAGAAAAGGGTTGAAGCTTATAAAAGCAAAGCCACTGACTTATTGCAAATGCATCAGTTTGCTGACATATACACTGTGGTCCAGAAAGGCTGAATGAAATTATCCAGGCTGCAAATGAGTATGGAGCCAGGATTAGAAGTCACTTTTATTCTGCTATCCCTTACTGCTCATTGTAGTAGGAAAACAAATGAATGTTCTCCGAAAATGCATGATCCCAAGAAGCACGGCTGACCTTCAGACCACGCAGTCTATTGGGATGTGTCTTGAACCATTTTATTTATTTATTTATTTATTTTTTGGTTTTTCTCTGGTACCGGGAACCGAACTCACGACCTTGCGCTTAGCAGGCAGGTGCTTTGCTGCTGAGCTAAATCCCCAGCCCCCTTGAACCATTTTAGTAGAATAAAAAGGAGTGTAAAGACCAGGACTTCCAGGGTGGTGGGTGGTTCGCCCAGCTCCTCCCCTCAAACTCACAGAAAGAGAATAGTGACAATAGGATGGAAATTTTTTCATGCACAGACTTAGATGACAGACATGTTCCTGCTCCTAGTCTAGGTGGGAGCACTTTATATAATAGGGCTCTTTCTACCTAGCTACAAGCGGGCTCTCCTGATAGTTGAGAGTTGCTTTTTGGTTCAATTATCCCACGGGGTCAGGAAAATGGCATGCCTAGATGATAACAAAAGGCACCATAAGTGGTGTCTGGAAAAAGAGA